CAGTCTTTGCGTCTTAAGAGACTTCTTTCAGTTGTCTTGTTTCTGGTTCAGTCTTTGCGTCTTAGAGACTTCTTTCAGTTGTCTTATTCCAAAAACCTTCTATAAGCTCTCTTGGTTTAAAGTTTCTGTCTTAAACTTCTTTTACGCCGTTGGTCGTTCTCTGTTTAAGAGAGTTAAGCCTCTGTGTCTTACAGACTTCTCTCACTTGTCTTATTCCAGAAACCTTCTATAAGCTCTCTTGGTTTTATAGTCTCTGGTCGTTCTCTGTTTAAGAACTATAAGCCTTGTGGACATTGATAGTAAAGAGAAACTTTTCGTTTCAGTCTTTTGTGTCTTAAAGACTTCTTTCAGTTGTCTTATTTCAAAAACCTTTTATGAGCTCTCTTGGTTTTATAGTCTCTATTTCGTTTCAGTCTTTGTGTCTTAAAGACTTCTTTCAGTTGTCTTATTTCAAAAGCCTTTTATGAGCTCTCTTGGTTTTATAGTCTCTGTTTCGTTTCAGTCTTTGCGTCTTAAGAGACTTCTTTCAGTTGTCTTGTTTCTGGTTCAGTCTTTGCGTCTTAGAGACTTCTTTCAGTTGTCTTATTTCAAAAACCTTCTATAAGCTCTCTTGGTTCTATAGTCTCTGTCAAACTTCCCATCCAACGAATCGAAAACCTGATTAAAGTCTTTGTTTAAAAGACTTTGTAAGCCGTGGGTAGAGAACTAGTCTTTTGCCTTAAGAACCATTTGCCACCACCATTAGGCCTTTCCCATCCAACAAATCCCTGTCTAAAGACTTTTAAGTCGCTTGTCTTATTTTCCTTCCCCTAACATCCTTTCCTCGAGCATGCACTACCAACCAACAGATTATAATCGACGGGACAATGTCCCCAAATAAGAATCTGGCAAAACACTATTAAATTAGTGCCTGTCTGTGATCTCATTTGGGTTTGAAACTTTGTTTCAACTTAGTGCATGCGTGTGTCTTATTTTCCATCATCTACCATCTTTCTCTTGAGCATGCACTACCAACCAACGGATTCTGATCAACGGGACAATGTCCCCAAATAAGAATCTGGCAAAACACTATTAGATTAGTGTCTGCCTAAGATCCCTTTTGGGTTTGAAACTTTGTTTCAAATTAGTGCCTTCGTGTGTCTTACTTTCCATCATCTTAACATCTTTCTCTTGAGCATGCACTACCAATCAACAATGTCCCGAAATCTTTTTTCCAATTTCCATCCTCTTAACATCTTTTTCTTGACCATGCACTACCAACCAACAGACTAATTTCCATCCTCTTAACATGTTTTTCTTGGCCATGCACTACCAACCAACAGATTATGATCAACGGGACAATGTCCCCAAATAAGAATCTGACAAAACACTATTAGATTAGTGCCTGTTTGTGATCTCATTTGGGTTTGAAACTTTGTTTTAACTTAGTGCTTGTCTGTGTCTTTTTTTCTTCCAATTTCCATCCTCTTAACATCTTTTTCTTGACCATGCACTACCAACCAACAACAGACTAATTTCCATGCTCTTAACATCTTTTTCGTAAGCATGCACTACCAACCAACAGACTATAATCAACAGGACACCAGACTACTACCAACAAATTAGTGCATGTGTGTGTCTTATTTACCTGCTTGAGTGGCAATGTTGTGGTTTGAGGAAAGGTGAACATCAGGCAGCGAATCTCATGGGATGTTCAAAGTCGGAAGACACTTCTCCAGAGAAAGTGACACCACGTGTATCCTCTTAACCATTCCTTCATCAACCCATCGAACACCCTGAAACAACGATGTGACATATAAGAAATCCCGATGAAGCTTGCAGCAAGGAAGAGAAAAAGAAAAAGAAATGAACAAGTTGCTTACATTTAAAGTCTGGACATTTGCAACTCTCAAGAGAACTTCTCCACCTCCGTTATGATCCAAACCTTCAGGGAATCCAAAACGCTTTAAAGAACGGACTGTGTCAACACTCGGGTCTCTTGGATCATTTGTAAATCCTGCACAAGTATACAAATTTTTCCTCTTAGCATACGTACAGAAAGATCTCACAGACAATAATTAATTACATGCGTTTGTCGATTCTGTTCTCGAATAAAGTAAATTTGCAACGAAACGTGAAAACTCTAACGGAGTGCCTCGTGAAAATCATTACGGATAATTTAAAAAGCGAAACGATTAGGAAACCTTTTTTAACGATTAGGAAACTTGAAAAGCATAAATCAGAATTCGCGAAGAGGGTGAGGGAAAAACCCAATCGATTACATCAATTTCAAGCGGAATCAAATTATGAAAAACCTAAACAAGATCTAAGCAGTAAGCACAAGAGACTTCGAGATCCTAAAAGGGCTAAAACAAAATCGCGATCAAGAGAAATCGAAAAACGTACAAATCTTAAGAGAGTAATGGATTTTTCGTGTTGAAATCGAGAGAATTCGTGAAATGAAGAAGAAGAAGAAGAAGAAGAAGAACACATAAAATTTGGGAGAAAATACCTTTGGAGGTGAAGAATTGGGGATGGAAATTTTTCTTTGGTAAGCTTAATTGATGTATATATCGCCACGCGCTTCCAACGGATAGATTTCCACTGACCGTTGGATATTTGAATCGGACGGTTCTGCGTTTTCCACGATTCCCCGGTTTTGTATGGTCGGCAAATAAGATGGTTTCGATATAGGCCCAACAAGGCCCATTAATTCAAATTTCAGCACTTCTATCGACGATTCACTTGATCAAACAAATTGTTGCTTCTTCCTCTTCTTTTTGCTAAGGGCATCTCCAACAAGCCTTCAAATTTTGAGGGGAGCAAAACCTCATTTTAAGGATTTGAAGGTGGTTTGCTCCAACAATGAATCTTCAAAAAAATCCTTAAAAATTAATTAATTTGCAATATAGTCCTTAATGTTAACAAAATTTACTAAAACTGATAAAAGTTCATAAATAAATTTAAAACATACACTTAATATATTATATAACATATATATTACTTATTATATTATTATACAACACACCATATTACAAAATAATAGTTACATGATAATATAAATTACATATAAAATAATAAAACACACATAAGTAAAAACTATGTTTAATAAACACAAAAAAAATTTTGTTGTGTAAACTTTGTTTGATATATTTTCTTTTAACTGAACTTTTTTTTTAAACATAATATTTCTTCTTTTTTTATTTAAATATGTTTTATTTTTCAAATTAAAGTTTAGTATACTTATTTGTAAAAAATCATAATTGTAGGGACTAAATAGAAAGAGACAAATAATTTTGAAGTTTTGAATAGTGAAACCTCATAATTTGAGGTTTCACTATTCAAAACCTCAGAATTTGAGGATTTGAGGGTTTGTTGGAATACCAAAAACCTCAAAATTTGAGGATTTAAGGGCTTGTTGGAGATGCCATGAAACGAAAATGTCTGATCGATATGCTGAAAATTCATTAATCCATTTCGGTCCTACCCTACATTTTTCCATCTATCTCTTGTGCTCCTCCAGCTTCTAAGAATCTCTGATTACTCGGCAAAAAAAACGATGATTCATTCGACAACGGATATAATTGGTTGACAAAGTTTTTTTTGATAAGAATTGGTAGACAAAGTTTAGAGAATATATAATCCTTTCTTGCTACCTCGCTTTGATAATGAATGACAGATGAACTTAAGTTCTCCGATCGTAAGTCGTAACTTTGGAGCGAAGATACATTCGGTCATGTGTCCTTTTTTTGATTACTACAGTTTTCTTAGTAAAAACGAGGAGTTATTTAAAAAAAAAACAATTACCACTTAGAAAAATTACTAAACTTTTATAAAAAGATCTGAACTCAGGCATAAAATAATTCTTACTTCCTACCTTAGGAATTTGCTGACAATAAAACCATATTTGTTTTTAAAAACCATAATTTGCTGACAAAAAAAAAACATAATTTATTTAGTTATTGGATTTGCAAGTTAAATTGAATAGAATGTCATAGAAATACATTGATAAAAAAAAGATGTCATAGAAACACACAATGATCACAATTAACAGCGTGAATGAAATAAAATAAATTGAATTAAATTCATATATGATTTTATCTTTCTGTATAAGTCAAAACTACTACACCAATGATACACAGTTATATTCCATGAATAATCTTCGAGCACTGGATTTTAATCCATTTGTAACTCTTTCTCAAAGATGTCTTCATTTTTCCTTCGGCTGCATAAAGTTTGTATTTCGCCACTCGTCTCTTTCTCTTTATCTCATTTGAAAAATCTCCGAGTGATTTTAAACAAGTAATCATAATGGTCTTTATATTTTTGTAAATAGATCTACACATATGGTCATTAACCAAAATTCTATAAAAATACATGATGATAAACTTATATATTCACATTCTTCTTATTTTTCTTCTCTCACAGGTTTTGTTGTACCAACTTGTTAACCACTGAATTTTACTGAGACAAGAGACAACAAAATCATTTTAGTTTGTGAAAAAAAAAAGAGATATTTATTCAGAAAACACCAAAACCCTCCGTTTTGGGGTTTCCATTTCCTTGAGCTCCTTCGTTGAGTTCACTTTTTCTCCTACCTCCCAACTTCTTCTGCTACTCTCAGGTTTCTCTCTCGCTTACTATTCTAGTTTCGTTTTTACCGCTTTCTAATCGCTTTAATATCTCTTCGAATTTTCGCCAAAATCAAACCTTTTTTCTGGGTCAGGTTTCTTCTGTCTCAACTCGTTTTTCGTGTAATGCTGCAAAATTTCACAATACCCATCTCGCAATCTCTACTAATTCGTAATGGCGCCGCTTGCAATTGAAATTTTCCTAGTTCAATTTCCAAGCTTTTTTCGAAACTTCAATTGAAGAAAATGATGATTTTAGATAAGTGTGTATCGTCCCTCTTGTTTGATTGCTGAAGCTCGATTTCGTGTTCTTGAACAGGTAAACAACCACTGGCAATTGGATTGAAGATTGGTTTTTTTAATTACTTGAGTTTCGCAAATTCCTCAATTATGGCAGCTTACATTTCACCTTGCTTCACGCCTTCCGATTCACGGCTGCTCACTGTTCTCAGAAAGAATGTATCACCGGAGAATCATCTAGGCAAAGTACACACCTTTAGAATGGTCGAGAGCAAGAAAAACCGAGTTTTTGTTACCGCTCAGAAATCAGAATCCTCGCCAATCAGAAACTCTCCACGCCATTTCCAAAGCCAAGACCCTTTCTTGAACCTCCACCCAGAGATATCAATGCTTAGAGGCAGTGAAGGCACAAGCACAATAGCCAATCCCAGAAAGGAAACCTCGGCGATACCTGTGACCGATGATTTCGAAGAGCCATCTGCTCCGAGCAGCTACAACGAGGCGAGGATTAAAGTGATTGGTGTTGGAGGTGGTGGATCAAACGCTGTGAACCGTATGATAGAGAGTGAGATGTTAGGAGTGGAGTTCTGGATTGTGAACACTGATATTCAAGCTATGAGAATGTCTCCTGTGTTGTCAGATAATAGATTACAGATTGGTAAGGAGCTGACAAGAGGTTTAGGCGCTGGAGGGAATCCAGAGATTGGTATGAATGCTGCTAGAGAGAGCAAAGAAGCTATTGAAGAGGCTCTTTATGGCTCTGACATGGTCTTTGTCACTGTATGTCCTAAAAAATCTCTCATTTTTTAATATCAATGTCACTGCTTGAGGATTGCTGGTGAAATGTGTGTTTTTGTCATTTTGATAGGCTGGAATGGGAGGTGGAACTGGCACTGGTGCAGCTCCTGTCATTGCAGGAATCGCCAAGGCGATGGGGATATTGACGGTTGGTATTGCCACAACGCCGTTCTCGTTTGAGGGTCGGAGGAGAGCAGTGCAGGCTCAAGAAGGGCTTGCTTCTCTGAGAGACAATGTTGACACTCTCATCGTCATTCCAAATGACAAGTTGCTTACAGCTGTCTCTCAGTCTACGCCGGTGACGGAAGCGTTTAATCTAGCTGATGATATACTTCGTCAGGGTGTTCGTGGGATATCTGATATCATTACGGTAGATTTTTTTTAATGGATTTCTTGTGATCGCTTTTTTGATGTGTGGCAAATGCTTTAGCAGGTATGTTTGTCTTTGTTTTACAGATTCCTGGATTGGTGAATGTGGATTTTGCTGATGTGAGAGCTATAATGGCGAATGCTGGCTCTTCTTTGATGGGAATAGGAACTGCAACAGGTAAGCTTGGATTGCTGCATAATTGCATAAGCAGAACAACTATATATGTATCGGACGAAGTAGTGTAGTTAGATCTAACGAGCTAGTAGATTTGGTGTGACAAAGAGACCAGTCTAATGAGTGAGATACTTGAGAATGATTATATCATATGTGCAGGAAAGAGCAGGGCAAGAGATGCTGCACTAAATGCGATCCAGTCACCTTTGTTAGATATTGGCATTGAGAGAGCCACTGGAATTGTTTGGAACATTACTGGTGGAAGTGACATGACATTGTTCGAGGTCTTTCTCTCTCTCTCTCATCTTTGTTCCTTATCTCAGTGTTACAGATCCATAAACAGTGTGTAGAAATCATTTGGTCTCTTTCTTCCATAGACAACTTAGAGCGAAGCCTGATTTTTGCTTCATTCTTGACATGTTTCTCATACACTTTGATCCTTGTAGGTAAATGCTGCTGCGGAAGTTATATACGATCTTGTCGATCCAACTGCCAATCTTATATTCGGCGCTGTTGTGGATCCATCCCTCAGCGGTCAAGTATGTTCGTCTTTTGATTTGTCTACCTTCTACTAAACATAAATGACCTCTGGAGATTTCGAAATTGGTTTGCAAGTTGTTGAAAACAAGAACTTCTTTTTGGATACAAGGTAAGCATAACCCTCATAGCTACGGGTTTCAAACGACAAGAAGAAGGAGAAGGAAGACCGGCTCAGATGGCACAAGCAGATACCACCTCACTTGGAGCTACAAGAAGACCTTCTTCCTCCTCCTTTAGAGAAGGCGGTTCAGTGGAGATCCCAGAGTTCTTGAAGAAGAAAGGCAGCTCTCGCTATCCCCGTGTCTAATAAGGCAAAAACGTTTGATCAAACCTTCTCTCTCTCGGATACAGCAAGATGTTTTGTTGCATGATTCAAGAATCGTGTGGGTATGTGTATAATATGCCTAGCTCTGGTGATGATGTGTCTTGAATAGGTTTGTTTTAGAGATGTTTTGGTTACGTCTCTTGACTAAGAAAAATAAAACAGAAAAAGTCTCTTTTTTCTTTTTACTTCCCAAACAAAAAGAAGGAAGAAGAAGAAGAATTACACTTGTCGTACCATAAACATACTATTTCTGATTATAACAGTTAGCATCAAACGTGTTGATATATATCGTTTGGGTCTAGCTTACATATCAACAAAGTGTGGCCAGAGTGAAAAACACAACCGGCTACAACAACCGGACTTGCTTCTTCGGAAAATTCCCGGCGGCGGCGCGTGACAAGCCATCCATCAACTTGTTATACGTAAAGATATCAGGCAACAAGTCTTTATCCAACATCTCGTTCACCAAAACCTCTCCTTCCATTCTCCTCCCTTCTCTCGTGAACCCCGAAACCAAAACATAGTACGTCGTCTCATCGGCCACAAACCCTTTCCTCGACGCCAATATCCTCAATCTGTTTGCATCAACCGAACGACCAGAATCACAGAGATCTCGAAGAAGCAAGTTAAACGTCACACTATCCGGAACGATTCCTGCATTCATCATCTTCTCCACAAACCCTAAAGCTTCCTCTATTCTTCCTGATTTCCTCAACCCTTCCACAAGCGCAGTACACGCAATCAAACACGGAGTTTCACCGTTCTTCCACAGCTCCTCCATCATCTCCACCGCTCTCTCCGCCTTGTTCTCTCCGCAGAGTCTCTCAACCAAACCACCATAATCGAAACCCGAAGGTAAAACCTTCTTCCTCGAGAGATCAATCACCAATCCACAAGCATCATCAACACGACCTTCTCTACACAAACCATCAACAAGAATCTCGCAAGTAGCTTCAGAGAATCTACAACCCATCTCAATCATCTCATAAGCCATTCTCACACCTTCCTCGATCTCACCTTTCCCCAAGAACCCTCTTATCAGAGTGTTGAAGCTAATCACATTCGGTTCACAACCTTTCTCCTTCATCTCCCTGAACAAATCCAAAGCCAAATCGAATTTAGAGCTCCTGCAGTAACCATTGATGAGGATGTTGAATGTGCATACATCTGGCTTTGCTCTCGCCTTCCCCATCCTCTTGTAAAACCATAAAGCCTTCTCCATATCTCCAGATTTCACATAACCATTCATGAGAGTGTTGTAAACGGTAACATTTGGTTTGCCATCGATCAATCTCTTCATTGTATCGAAAGCTAACAGTGCATAATCCATTTTCCCAGCTCTACAGCATGAATCAACGGCGGATCGGAAAATGGGTTCGAGGTGTGGGCAAGAGAAGATACCTGAGGAGCAAGGGCACGGATTCGCGGCGATGAAAGAGAGGAGACGGTGGAGATCGTCGAAACGGTGCGTGGCGGCGAGTGATCTCGACATCCAGAGGAACGATTCGTGATCATGGCGGAATGTGTCGAGCGTCGCGGCCCAATTGAAGACGGCGAAGTCGTAATGAGCGAAGAGCGGGTGGTGACGGAGCTTGGAGCGGAGGAATCCGATGAGAGATTGCGGAGATAGGGTTTGGTGGTGAGGGAGGTTGTTTTCGAGGAAATTGACGAAATTTGAGTGTCGAGAAGTTGGAGTGAGAGTGAGAGTCGGAGGAATCGAAACTTTCGGAATCTGCGGCGGAGGATGAGGTAACCGGTAAATCTCCGGTGCCGGTGGGTTAAGAGGCGCCGGAAGATGATTGGACTTGGAGACGAGATCGATAACGTTCTTCTTGTTCCATCGCATCACTCTCTCTCTGTTTGGACAAAGAAAATCGAAAACTCCAAACTTTTATCGATAACCATCTTATAGTATTTGATAAACCGGAAATAACCGTTTTTTAAACCCTAGAAATCGAGAACCAGAACCAGAAACGCCATAGATCCTTGATTCTTCTTCACCTACCCAGATTTTTGATTCAGCTCCAAAGATGAGAACTTGCAGCTCCCAGTTATACTCCAATGGTGGTATCGCTTGTTTCCGCAAGAACCAGAGCTCTCCGTTGAACAAGGACCTCAAATTCTCCGGACCATTGTTCTCTACCCAGAAAAAACGTATGCCGGATTCAAATTTTGCTTCTTTCTTTTACTCAATTTCTCAAATTTCTTGAGCGAATCGTAGAGTATGTCTCGCAGGATCATCGAGGATGCAAGTCGTATCAGCTGTTCAATTCCGACCTTGCATTGACATCCACAAGGTAAATGACTCAATTCACTGATTCTGAAATCTGAATCCTTTTAGGATCTCTCTAACAATTTGGATTTGTGAAGGGAAAAGTGAAACAGATAGTTGGGTCCACACTAAGTGACTTGAAAGAAGATGGTTCGGCTCTCGTTACGAATTTCGAATCGGACAAATCAGCAGAAGAGTATGCGAAGATGTACAAAGAAGATGGGCTAACGGGTGGTCATGTGATAATGCTTGGAGCAGACCCTTTAAGCCAAGCTGCAGCTATTGGAGCACTACATGCTTATCCAGGTAATGCCTTTTGGGTGAAATGTGAATGGGACTTTTTAAATTCATAGTTTTGATTGAAAATGTTGAGTTTTTCATGTGTGTCGTATATGATACAAGACGATGAATTCTAGGAGGTTTGCAAATTGGAGGTGGAATTAAGTCAGAGAATTGCTTGAGCTATGTAGAGGAAGGAGCAAGCCATGTCATTGTCACTTCGGTATATAGCTATTTTTAGCTCTTTTGAATTTGTTTATCATTTGTGCTTGTGCTTGTTGTAATCTGTTTTTTTTTGTTGTTGGTATGTTCAGTATGTGTTTAACAATGGGAAGCTTGATCTTGAAAGACTGAAAGATCTTGTGAAGATTGTTGGGAAACAAAGATTGATACTTGACCTTAGCTGCAGAAAAAAGGTGATTGATTCTCTGACCTGTTTCATCTTCAGTTTTGAAGTGTTTTTGGCATGAAAAGGAATTTGCTTTGCAGGATGGAGGAAGATACGCAATTGTTACTGATAGGTGGCAGAAGTTCAGTGACGTCTTGCTTGATGAAGAGTCATTAGAGTTTCTCGGAGGATTTGCAGATGAGTTTCTGGTGCATGGCGTAGACGTTGAAGGAAAGAAGTAAGTATGCTTAAAATATCTCAACGCTGTGTCTTCGAGTGTCTCCGTTTCGCATTGGAGTTTAACATTATTCAGTCAATATGTAATGATCAGTGATTGAAATTCTTTTATCCAGGCTAGGGATTGATGAAGAGCTTGTAGCGTTGCTTGGCAAGTATTCTCCGGTGAGTAACAAACTCAATTTCTTGATAGAGTATGAGTCTTAGGATCTAGAAAGCTCGACTGTATCCATTGACTTGTTAGGAAGTCAGAGTCTTGATTGGAAATTTGATCTCTGTATCTGAGATGTTTTGTTTCTTTTGAGCTTTAACAGATTCCGGTAACTTATGCGGGAGGCGTGACGGTGATGGATGATATAGAGAGGATCAAAGAAGCAGGAAAGGGCCGTGTGGATGTGACAGTGGGAAGTGCCTTGGACATATTTGGAGGAAATCTACCTTACAAAGACGTTGTTGCTTGGCATCACAACCAAGAACACTCCCCAACGCAACACTGAAGTCGCCATTTTTTTTTGTCTTTTGCTTTCTTTTTATATATCCGACCTCTGCAAGATTAATCTTCAACTTAAGAAGGTTCAGTATTTAAAAGATGTTGAATATTTTTCATAATTTATTTCATACTAATCTGACTTCTGGTCGTTCCAATAATATACATGTGTTTTACAAAAATAAAAGTTTGCGGTTTATTCCATTCTGTGGTTGTCCTCTGTGCTAAGCTTCTTTATTAGTATATTGTAAAACAAGAAGACAACACTGAAAGGAGTAAATTCGAAGCAATCCACAACTTGAAAACTTTTTTCATCTTCAAGAAAAACCGATGGCCGTGAAGAAACGTCACTGCTTACATCTTTCAAGTTATTGACCTCTTCGAGTTTCCTCTTCGTTTCCTCTTCTCTCATGTTCTTTTTCTTGGTGATTTCAATGAAGCTGAAACATCGTTATCTTTCCGTGTTTTTATTGACAATTTTAAAAACTTGAGCGATAGTCAACATTTTTGGAAAGTACCAATTCATTTTCGCTCTTTCCTTTTTGAATAAACTTCTCACCGAATTTGTATGTTTTTCTTTCAGTATACGCAATCTGGTCACTAAATGCGGTATAGTTAGAGTAAACACTGAATATTATTACTATCCAGAACTTACTCCCCAGTTTTTTTTTTCTTTTTACAAAGCTGAATTGTATGCAGAAATTCGAATTAATATTCAAAGTTTGTGAACCATTTCTTACAAACTATTTGAAAAACCATGATTGACATCACAGTAAAATGACTGTTTCTTTCAACCTGCATTACCGTGAAAGTGTAAATCGGACAATAATCACGTCCATAGTCAAGCAATATATGTGCCTTTAAAAAATAATCAATAATCTAACGACTCATCAACTATTCTTTACTTTCCGAACCAAAAATTAGATAACTTGATAAAGCATAAATAGAAATATACTTCTTTAACTATTTAGTATTTAGTATTTACAACGAAAACAAGAAAAAATATTAATTTAAATGCAATAAGAGGCTCCATACATAACAATATAGAAAACGGTGAGGTGGGGCAAAATCGCCGCCTTCGCTTTGCCAGTTTCTGAAAAACGTTAATCAAGTGCCACGTTAGCAGTTGTACCAACGACTTTTCGAAAAACACAGCAGCTACAAAACAGGGTCCCACCAAAACTCAGACAAGACAAACCACCATTCACACAAATAATTCTATACTATTTCCCGCCGGGACCTGAAACACTATATAGCTGGACCCCACAAACATTTACACTTGTCCCGCCACGTCATCATCCACCGAACAGATCACGCTCTTCTTCCAGAAGCGAACCGGGCCATATCTCCCAAACCGGGCACCACCAGGTCCACCACCACCTCTTCAACGTTTTCCGTTGGAAGCCGGCTCCTGATGTCTTGTGTCCTACTCGGCGACGTGTGTGTCCCACTCGACGATGACGCGTTTTTGCAGCCGCCTCCGATCCTGAAGATGGCTCTGAAACTCGCCAAAAACCCGGGTTTCTTGACCCGGTTCGCCTTCTCGGGTCGACCCGATTTTTGACGGCGCATCCGGCGGCTACGTTCCCTTCTGGATCTTACTCTCCCGATGCAAGAGACTATAGGAGAAGAAGGTTCGAGCAACGAATTAGGATTCGACTTCATTCGTGATCCGACCCGTTTCAGTATAACCCGGTTCTTGTCGTTTCTGCCGCAGTTTCTCCGCTGCTTCGCCTCGTTGAAACACGTTTTCGGCGGCTTCGGTAAACCGATGATCGACGCTTTGGATTTTAGTAAGAACCGTTGAGAGCTCGGGTTGGAGTTGGGATTAGAGTTGAGATTCGCGGAGTGACCTCTCTGAGAATCTTTACGGTCGAAGAATGCGTTGTCGCTGAGCCACTCGAGCTGAGCATCTTTGGACAAGGAATAAGATTCCGGTGGATAATCAGTCGGACTCACGACAGAGTTGTTGTTGTAGTAGTATGGTCGGGTATCCGGGTCTTCGGCGACGGCGAGGGTCGACTCGCATGATATCTTCCGGTCGGCGCATACTGAAGAAACAAAGGCTTCGAGATCGACTTGGGGCATAGAGCTTCTTGTAGATGATACGGAAATTGATGTTTTTAGAGAGATAAATTATAGGTGAAGAGACAACAGAAAGGAAGTTGGGCTTTTTATATCGCCAAAAATATAAAATACGAAGGCTCTTCTTCTTCTATAATTTTTACATTCATTTTATTGTTTTTTTTTTTCTGGCTCGCTTTTGTCTTTTTTTCACAAAAGTCTCGTTAACCCCCGGAAAACGGGAAACTCGACGTCGACGGGATAAAACAAACAGAATTAAGCATCGATGATTAATTGTCCGATATACTATAGTTTTTAAAAATAATTAATGTAAATATGATTGGAATTGTTGTAATTGTTTGGATGGCTATATAGATCGTGAAAGCAATGATTTTGTAGATAAATATGGAGAAACTTTATGATATACTTAATCAATTGTATTTTACAATCTTTCTAATATTACCATCAAATTAGTGACAATGTTAAGTTGTTTTTTATCCAGAAATTGTCCACAACTACCTAAAAACAATGCTAACAGCTAACTACACTTCCATTAGATTTTTTTTTTCTTATTAATATATAATGACGATAAAAATTGATAACTTGTTCCGGCTGAAAGATCTGTGAATACATAATTCATGCATAATCCAGCATCGATAGAGATTCGTCCTTTTCAGGAGGTTGGATCCAGGTAACTACTATCCTTCTTAATTTTTCACAATATTAATTAAACTGAAATGGCACCAAATCATTTGGATGCTTTAAAACCAGTTCGTTATTAATTGTCCAGGTGCATCATTATTGATATCAACGTACAGAATCTTAGAATTAATTATAATGTCAAGTTCAACAAGGAAGCAGCCTTACCAATTGACCTAATATTGACCTACACAGCGTGATCACACGAGAAACTTCTTGTAATTAATTTGTAAAACAACAACCTTTTAGATATCAAAATATAATTTAATTAAGATTTACAACCAGTAGACCAAGATCTCCGATTTGCTGTCTCTTCTAGAGACCAAGTACGTATCTCTATGCATGTGAATCCTGTAATTAATTTCATTTTCCATAGAATTCAGGGAACCTAGCTACTATACCTGAAACTGATTAGTTGCA